ATCCCTGTCTCACGGTGGCTCCCTCAGGGCTATGGGACTCACCTGATGAACCACCTGAAGGAGTACCACATCAAGCACAACATCCTCTACTTCCTCACCTATGCGGACGAGTATGCCATCGGCTACTTCAAAAAGCAGGGGCGATCCTTCCCCTGGGCGCCCCACCCCTGGCCCTTCTGCCCACCTGCCCCTTCCCACCTGCCCCCTCTTTCCTAGGGCTTTTCCAAGGACATCAAGGTCCCCAAGAGCCGCTACCTGGGCTACATCAAGGACTATGAGGGGGCGACCCTGATGGAGTGTGAGCTGAACCCTCGCATCCCCTACACTGAGCTCTCCCACATCATCAAGAAGCAGAAGGAGGTATGGCCTGGGGGTGGGCAGGAGAGTGAGTGGGTGCTGTCAGCCACCCCCCAAAGGCAGGGGAGAGGTGTGGGGCTGTGCTGGCCCTGGGAGCAGGCTTGCAGGGCAGAGAGGGGACACTGGCAGTGTTTGGTTGGTTCTAGCCTTAGACGGGGGGTCTGTGGGGTCCCACATCATGATGTGGCTCCCTGGAGCATCCTGAAGCCCCTGCTTATCTTCTCCTCATACAGATCATCAAGAAACTGATCGAGAGGAAACAGGCACAGATCCGCAAGGTCTACCCTGGCCTGACCTGCTTCAAGGAGGGTGTGCGGCAGATCCCCATCGAGAGCGTCCCTGGCATCCGTAAGTGCTGCTGGGGGGTTTGGCAGGAGGGACCTGTCTGCCCTCCCCGTGCCCGTGGGGCAGACGTGGTGACTTTGACATTTGTCTTCCAGGAGAAACGGGGTGGAAACCACTGGGGAAGGAGAAGGGGTGAGTGCTGTGTGGGGAGGTAGAGGTCCTGCAGCAGCTGGGTGGGGCCTCAGCTTGGGCTGCCCCTCGCTCCCAGCACTGCCTTGACCCTGGAATGGAGAGAGTCTGATGGGTGCTGGCTTTGTCTGGCAGGAAGGAGCTGAAGGATCCAGACCAGCTCTACAACACCCTCAAGAACCTTCTGGCCCAGATCAAGGTGTGGACATGAGGGCACTATCACTCTGGGCTTCCTGTCTCCCCGACAGTCCTCAGAGTTGCTGCCCCTGGGATGGGCTGTGCAGGGCTCTGCCCTTGGGGGGCAGTGGGGTGACCCAGGCACGGGGGGAGTGGGACCCCCATGTGCTGGAAGGGGCAGAGGCCGTGTGTGCTCACCACTGTAACTGCCTCCCACCTCCCCCCAA